GACACCACACTTATGGCAGAAAGCAAAGAGGAAGTGAAGAGCCTCTTGATGAAGGTAAAAGAGGAGAGTGAAAAAGCTGGCTTAAAACTCAACATTCAAAAAATAAAGATCATGGCATCCAGTCCCCTCACTTCATGGCAAATAGAAGGGGGGAAAATGGAAGCAGTGACATTTCATTTTCTTGGGCTCCAAAATTACTGTGGACACTGAATGCAGCCATGAAATTAAAGGATGCTTGGTTCTTGGAAGGAAAGTTATGACAAACCTAGACAGTGTATTCAAGAACAGAGATATCACTTTGCTGACAAAGGTGTGTATAGTCAAACCTATGGTTTTTCAGTAGTCATGTATGGATTGAGAGTTGGACTATAAAAAAAAAGGCTGAGTGCAGAAGAACTGATGCTTTTGAACTGTAGTGCTGGAGAAGGCTCTTGAGAGTCCCTTGGACAGTAAGGAGATGAAACTAGTCAATCCTAAAGGAAATCAAACCTGAAAATCTCCATTGGAAGAACTGATGGTGAAGCTGAAGCTCTAATACTTTGGCCACCTGATGCAGAAAGCTACAACACTGGAAAAGACACTGATGCTGAGAAGGACCGAAGGCCAAAGGGGAAGAGGGCAGCAGCGGGTGAGATGATTAGATAGCATCGCCAACTCAGTGGACAGGAACTTAAGCAAACTCCAAGAGACAGTGAAAGACAGGGAAGCCTCCAACTAATAAAAATAAATGGAAAAAAGAAAGACAGGAAGCCTGGCATTCACGAGGTCACAAGAGTAGGACACAACTTAGCAACTGAACAGCATCCTAACAGACATCTCATGATGCCACTGATTTCGTTTTTCCCTAGTGATGGCCTCCCCACTCCAGGATTCTTGGGCTTCCCTTGTGGCTCAGCTGGTAAAGAATCCGCCTGCACTGCGGGAGACCTGGGTTTGATCCCTGGGTTGGGAAGATCCCCTGGAGAAGGGAAAGGCTACCCACTCCAGTATTCTGGCCTGGAGAATTCCATGGACTATACAGTCCATGGGGTCGCAAAGAGTCAGACACGACTGAACGACTTTCACTTCCAGTGACTAGTAGTGTTGAACATTTTTTGTGTGCTCATCGGCCATCTGTGTATTTTTATTGTAGAAATGTCTGTTCAATCCTCTGCTCTTTGTTAACTGTCTTTGTATCACTGAGTTTGTGAACATCAATAAAGGGAAACCATTTAAAATGGAGCTGGAAGGCCAGAAGAGGGAGCTCTCAGACACTTGACTGTCAATTACAAGAAGCATTGTCAATTACAGACCCAGAGAGAAGGATCACCAACAGGAAAGAATCCTCCATGACAGGTCCCAACCGGAAAGACATTCATTGCATCTTTTCCAGGAAGGTGAGGACCCTAGCTACTAGGCCAATGAGAACCTGTCACCACCCTGAACTCTAATTTGCCTCCAATTGACTTTTTTTCAGAACTCCTCCCAGCTTCCTCTTTTTCTCTGTAAAATAGGGAAAAATGTTAAGTTCAGTTCAGTTCAGACACTCAGTCATGTCCAACTCTTTGCAACCCCATGTACTGCAGCACACCAGGCCTCCCTGTCCATCGCCAACTCCCGAAGTTTACTCAAACTCATGTCCATGTCCATGAGTCTCATAAAATAGACGAAAATGGTAAAATGACTGTTTTTGGATAGCAAGTTGAAAGTATTCTTTATATCTTCTAGACACAAGACCCTTCTCAGATATATGACTTGTGAGACTTTTTCTCATTCTGTGAGATAGCTTTTCACTTTCTTTATGTTTGCCTCCGAAACACATAAGTTTTTAATTTCGGTGAAGTCTAATATATATATATATGTATGTATGTTTTCTTTTGTCATTTGTGCTTTTGTCCATAAATTATTTCATGAAGGATAGCAGCCACCTACTTTCAATACTAGCCCTGGAGTGTTAGAAAAAAATTCTTTCATGTTGGAGCCATTTCCATTTGGGTGCCTGTCACAGCACCGTAGCCCACACTAAGACAGAGCCTACTGTGGTAAAGTCTCTTGTTATCTCTTTGTAGGAAAATGCCTTTATTCTATCCTTAGCCTGGAAATAAAGTTTTGCTGAGTATTAAATTCTAATTTGGATTTTATTATTTGCTTGAAAACATCCATTTTGCTTTTCATTTGTAGGTGATCTTTTTTTTCTTTCCTTTTTGGCTGCCCCGTGCAACTTGCAGGGTCATAGTTCTCCTGGTCATAGACCAGGAATGAAACCCAAGCCCCAGCAGTGAAAGGTCTGAGTCCTAACACTGGACCACCAGGTAGTCCCATGTAGGTTATCTTTTTATCTTCACCCTCAAATTTGCAGAATTTGGGCAAGAATACAAATGGAGGCTAATCATAGGTGTCCAAACATTTGAAATTTATAAATCAAAGTAAAGAAATTATTTCATTGTTAAAATTTGCCTGTGTTCGTGCTAAGTTTCTTCAGTCATGTCCGACTCTTTGTGACCCCATGGAAGGCAGCCCGCCAGGCTCCTCTGTCCATGGAATTCTCCAGGCAAGAAGGCTGGAGCGGGTTGCCATACCCTCCTCTAGGGGAGCTTCCTGATCCAGGGATCAAACTCACATTTCTTATGTCTCCAGCATTGGCAGGCAGATTCTTTACTACTAGCACCACCAATTACATCTTATTTTACAAAAATAAACTACTCACATCTAATATTCAGTAGGTATCTAGTTACCAATGTAAAGAGTCTGTATTATGCTTCACTCATGTTATATCTAGACCTATAAATACATAAACTTCAGATTGACATGAAATTGTTCATAATTGTCACAAAACTTCCCTCAGCCACTCAGTGCAGCTGCTGCGACTAATGCTGCACACACTTCATGAGCACCTCTGGTCCATGAAATGGGAGGAAGAGAAACATGAAGTATTAATAGATGTTTGTCACAGTGCTCAGCAGGGGAAAACTCAGTTACGTGATGCCTCTAAAAGGAAGAATTTTGTTAATAAATTATCTTTCCCTTTTCTAAACACATCTGCCTCACAACTCCTCTCCACACTGCAAAACAGTATTAACTCTGAATTCTCCGTGACATTTAAATCAAGTCCCCCTAAAACCAAATCCTCTGAGTTCATGATCAATCTCTCCACCCCAAACCTTCCTTTCTTGTGCCCTCTGACCTCAGTACTGTGCTAACTGAACAGTAACCAGGTAGAGTCAGATGACTAAGATGGATGCTGTCGATAAAAGAGTTAGTGTACTAAAATTGCTGCTGTAGACCTCATTAATGTACAGACTCAGGTTATTTCTCCAGGGCAAGATGAGCTCACAGACCCCTCAACCATGGACCACCAAGCCTGAGAACGTAAATCGGAGACATCCTGACTCCTGAAACTAGATTCAGAAATGTCACAAAATGAATCTCAACCTTTCTTTTTTTTTAAAAAAAACTTTTTTTTTAAAATCCCCTAACTCAAAGACCAAGTTGGTCAGAGGCTTAGCAGAGTTGGTCTGAGTGGATCTGAGATTGTCTCTCATTCCTTTGCTTGGCGTGCTGCAAACACCCACTGTCAGGGAGTTTGGCTTTCTGCTCTGGTAACACCTGAACATGGCCCTGAGTGCTGACTTCAGGTCACAGGTAGGGCCGCCCAGCTCCAGGGAGTCCACAGGCAGGTTTGGCTAGAAAGCCACTGCCTCCAGCTCAGAGTCCAGGACCCAGCTGTGGCTCGAGGCCGAGTCACTCAAGAGTGGGTACACCCTGCCTGTCCCGCAGCCTGAGACACAGCAGGAAGGGCCAAAGGTCAAGGGCACGGCTGCGCCTAGAGTAGAGAAGACCGAGGTAGTGTAGGCCGGCAGACAGCTCCACCAAGAGCCCTGCAGGCCAGCACCATGGACCGGTGGACTGGTGCACTCGAGCGAGCTCCTGGAGGTCCCTCTTGGCACTCGGGCGTCCCAGCCAGCCGTGCATCATCAGGCCCCAGGCTTGGGGACCAGTGGTGAGCAGGCCACGCAAGTTTCCACCCGCACAGCTCAGCTAGCCCCAGAGCGTCTGGTCTCAGATCTGCTGTGCTACTTCTGTCAACTGCCAATGGGCACTTGCCAAGAGCATTTGCCAGCGACTGAACAACAAGGGCGTTTGCCATCTGCGTCTGCAGAGATCCAACCCTGTGCTACTGTAGCTGCCAATCTTCATTCAGGGTGGAGAGTGAGGCACTCTGTGCTCCAGGGAAACTGGTGTAAGAGCTCTTTAGACAGATATTTTCAGAAACTTATTTCATGACCCCAGTCCTTCCATCTCCTGGTATCTAGAAAAGCACTAAATCCCTTCGCCCTGACATTCACCCTTCACCCTGGCTCCTCATGACTAACAGAAAACCTTTTGTAAAGTAAGCACTTGATTGCAGTGACCTCCCCGTGCACCAAAATCTTATATATTGACCTTCCCCCACTGCCTTTTTCGGAGAAGGCAGTGGCACCCCACTCCAGTACTCTTGCCTGGAAAATCCCATGGACGGAGGAGCCTGGTAGGCTGCAGTCCACGGGGTCGCGAAGAGTCGGGCACGTCTGAAGCGACTCAGCGGCAGCAGCAGCACTGCCTCTCTGAACAATTCCTCAGAGCTATCTGAGGTACAGTCTCCCCCAGCTGCAGGCCTCATTTTGCCCCAAATAAAACGTAACTTGAAATTCTCACATTGTGCATTTTTTTAGTCAACAGTTCCTACAGCTTGGGGCAGCACAGGCGGCAGAAGGACCAGAACCTGCACTCCAAACCCTTCGCCCAGCCCCGTGCCGCCTCCGCCCCTCCTCCCGGACCCTCCTTCGGCCCCCTCCTCCCTAAACCGCAGGCCCGTCGCCCCGCCCACTTCCGCCGCCTGGCGTGGTCTCGCGATACCTGCGTGGTCACGCGTCCCGGGCCGGTGGACGGGGCGGGCGCTGACTGGCGCGCCCGGGGGGCGGCTCCGCGGGGCGGGCCCTCAGCTCGGTCGGGCGGAGGGGACAGTCGTCCACGCGAGCGCCATGGCCGCCTTACGTGCCCTGCTGCCCCGCGTTCGCGCCCCGCTGCGGCCCTGGCTCTGCTGCCCGGTGCAGCGCTCCTTCGCCTCGAGTGAGTGCGGGGCCGCGGGGGCGGGCCGTGGTTGGGGTCGCAGGGCCTCTTCCTGGGCCGGGACCCCTAGGACGCACCGCGCTCCTGCCGGGGAGCGTCCAGCCTGACTCCCCTGCCCAGCACCTCCTTCTTGAGCGCGCGGAGCCCTGGGATCACTAGCGTCTCGACCCCGGGTTCTCGGGGCTGAGTGCCAAGACCTCTGGCCACTTCAGCATTTGGTGCGAAAGCCCTCAGACTAAGAGGACGCGCGGTTCGCGCATCTGCGATTGGAAGGGGTCGCGCGTGCTGTCCTGTGGTGCCTCCTGCCCAGCCTCCCCAGATCCACTGCTTCTCCCTTCAGGTTCTGCCTGCCCCACCCCCAGCCAGCTGGGCACCCCCCCTCCTCCCCCCCCGCCCCTCCACCACCCCGTATTTCCCAGGAACTCTTGGCCACATCTCTGGGAACGAATCTCTACAGCCCCTTCCTTCACCTGTGTGTCCACTTAGCCTAGCTGTTAACTAGCGTTCATGTTACCTGTGTTCCTTTTGACCACCTGCTCCTACATCCCGGCCTGTACCCAGCAGTCTTTTTTGGTCTTGTATACGGGGTGTGGGGGATGCTGCCTACACATGGGTGATTTCAGTCACTCCCCAGCAAGCCCACCGGATAGGTACGCCGTTCAAGGAAACAGCTGCCTTGGTTAAGCTCCCCCCGCCCCGAGGTCATTCTGGCTCCCTGAGCAGGCTGCCCCTCCTAGGGCAGTTGCCAGTTGCCTGTGTGCACTTCACCCAGTTGGCGTCTGTTTAAAGAGGGAGTTTCCTCATTTCTTGTTTCAACAGGATCCCAGGCATCTCCAGCACAGGTTCTGGGAGATGCCAACCAAGACATTCAGAAGAAAGGCCGCTGGTCATTGCTGGGGCTGTCTTAACTTGAGGAAACATTCCAACATTTGTGAAAGCAGAGAGCCCTGCAGTGTGAGCTGCAGCACCAGGGACTGAGCAGGGCCCTCAGGTGTCGGGGTCACCCTGTCCAGTGACGGAATACATCCCCCAGTTTGGTGCCTCTGTTAGTGGAAATCCCTCTTTCCCTTTTCTTCCCGGGTACAGCCTTTGAGTACATCATCACAGCAAAGAAGGGAAAGAACAGCAACGTGGGGTTGATCCAGCTGAACCGCCCCAAGGCCCTCAATGCGCTCTGCAATGGCCTGATTGCAGAGCTCAACCAGGCACTGCAGACCTTCGAGGAAGACCCAGCCGTGGGGGCCATTGTCCTCACAGGCGGGGAGAAGGCATTTGCAGGTGAGCTGGGCAGCATGGTGGCCGGCTACCAGGTATGTGATCACACCTGTGGTGTGGCAGGCAGCCTTATACCTCCATGAAGGCATCAGGCAAGTTCTTCAGCTTGGGGATTTATTTACATAAGGTAGACCAAACCCTGAGCTGCTTGGAGGGGACTCTCTGGTGTTTAATGTTGAGCACGCTCTGCCAGCAAAATTAACCTGCTCACAGGCAGGCAGGTCTCAGGTGAGAGGGACTAGTGAGTGAGCCCAGCTTTCTCTGAGTCCCCTCCTGGTCTGTCCTGTACACAGCCCTCTGCGTTACTTCCGTCACCTCGTATCGCACAGTGTTGCACTGCGCCCCCAGCCCAGCTGTGTGTCCATGTGACCTTTCCCCAAAGCCCCAGTGCTTACACACTCAGCAGCTGCCTGTTGATGTGGGACCTCTGGTAACTGGAACATCATTTCCCACCACCCAGCTGGAGCCGACATCAAGGAAATGCAGAGCCACACGTTCCAGGACTGTTACTCTGGAGGGTTTTTGAGCCACTGGGACCGACTCACGTGTGTCAAGAAGCCAATCATAGCTGCTGTCAATGGCTATGCCGTGAGTGTTCCCCCCACACCGCCTGCTTGCACTCAGAGCACCTGAAGGAACTGTATCTGTGCAGTAAGACCAGTTTTTATTTGGAGGAGGCTGTGTCTCATTCTCAGTGATGCAAAAGAACCAAGACCTGTAAAGGGCGTTTAGCATCTGCTCTGTGGGAGGGGGGTTCAGCTGTTGGCCTTTGGATTCCCCTGTTAGTAAAGCCCCCTAGTCTTCAACGTGGTCCCTAAGACTCCCCAGGAGCTGCCTTCCCCCTCTGCAAGGTTAAGGGCACATGTGTTGGCTTTCCAACCTGCACTGCCTTATAAATTAACTCCTTCTGCTACTGTTGGAAGCTCTGGGTGCCCCGTTTGGTGCGTCCGGGTCTCCTGTAGGCACCTGGAAGGTTCAGAGGTTCTGGGGCTGGCTGTGGCCTGTACAAAAGTGAGAAGGACCTTTCAACTCACAGTTCCTTAGTAAAGCTTCCTTGGGGTGAGCAGGTCAGTGGGCAGAGTGTATTGGAACACAGCAGCCTCTCAGTTCTCCCCTCTCTTGGCTGCCTTTGAGCTCCCTCAGCCGAGTGGAGTGGCCACAGCAGACACTGTAGGACATGCAAGGCCAAAAGCATTTGCTGTCTGGCCCTTGCCAGAAAGCTCAGCAGAATCAACTGTGTACGTAATTGATGGAAACAGTTACCTAACTTGCCATCTCTGTGTCGATGTCTACTGTACCCCAGACCGCGTTCCTTTTAATAGAAGATTTAAATGGGCAAATAGAGTGATTTTTAACTGGGGTCCTCTTGCGGTGCCTCTTGTTTTGCAGCTTGGTGGTGGCTGTGAACTTGCTATGATGTGTGACATCATTTATGCTGGAGAGAAAGCCCAGTTTGGGCAGCCGGAGATTCTAATAGGAACCATCCCAGGTAAAGGCTCTAGCATCAGCTCTTCAAGTAATTGGCCCAAATCTGCCCTCTACCAGGCATCTGGGCTGTCTCAGTGTCAGACAGAAAGTGAGGCCGTGTGTGAGCCTGGCTGCAGTACTGTCCGCGTGGGGCGGGGCATGGGGGCCTGGAGCCCTGCCAGTTCCTCTGGGCAGGGCACACACTGGCTTCCGACCGCAGTGATTCTTGCTGCTGAGCCGCATCCATGGTGGGTCCTTGTAGGTCAGCAGCTCAGAGAAGAAAACGTGGTGACCATGGGCCAGCGCTGAGGGCTGCCGTTACAGTGACCAGAGCGAGACCCGTGGCCTCAGCAGGTTCAGAGCAGGGAATCGCATCCCCCACGGGGAGGGTGATGGGAGCAGTGGGCCAACAGCGATGCCTCTGCCCCTCAGCCCACCTGACGAGAGCTACAGGATGTGTCCCCACAGAGTCTCTACCTGGGTGTAGAGCCTGGAGTCCAGGGTCTCAGCCAGGCCAGGCAGTGAGCCACGTGGGGTCAGCTGGGGGTGACTGCCAGACTCTTCCTGTCCCAGTGCCCAAGGTCCCCACCACGTTGCGGTAGTGCCCGAGTCTGCTGGACCGTGGGTGCCTCCCTCAGGTGGCCGCTTGCCTCACCCTGGCAGCCCTGGGGTTCACTGTGGGCAGGTGAATGGGCAGACCAGTCTTTCCAGTCAGTGAATGGGCAGACCAGTCTTTCCAGTCAGAGGCCGTTGAGTGGGTGGGAAGGGGAGCAGGGCCTGTGGAGGCAAAGTCCACATGGGGCTAGACACCTGAAGATCCCAGGAGAGAGGAGCACGTCCCCAGGCCCGAGAGGCAGGAGCCTTGCCCACGTCCCAGTCCGGGAGCAGAGCCGATTGTGATAGGAAGCCGCCCCCAGCTGCCCTCCAGGGTGGGTCAGGTCAGGGTCTGCAAGCTCCACACATCCATCCAGAGTCTGACTTCTGCAGGAGAGGCGCTGGTACAGGGGGCCCAGGGCACAAGGCAGGGGCCTGAGTGTGGGAAGGAGGTTCCCTTGTGGTGTCTGGGTCCCCCAGTTCTGCCCACCCCCCAACCGTGCTGTAGGTCTTCAGGCCCTAGACACTTGCCAGCAGCGTGTCTGTGGCTTCTTGGCCGCAGAGCGGCATGCCCAGCAGCCCTCTGCCCCTGCAGGTGCAGGCGGCACCCAGAGGCTGACCCGTGCCGTCGGAAAGTCACTGGCCATGGAGATGGTCCTCACCGGCGACCGGATCTCGGCCCAGGATGCCAAGCAAGCAGGTACAGGCTGGGGCTGCCCCGTGGAGTTGCCCCCTTGGGAAGCTGAGTGGAGAGGGGAGGGCCTCACCCAGGGACTCCCACAGTGATCAGCACAGAGCTTTCCAGCGTCCTACAAGTCCAGGATACTCTCTGCCTGTGTCTGAAATACCACCATGCACAATGGAGTGACTCAAATGTCCTCGTGAATTAAAGACTAACAGTGAAACCATCCCACTTCTCAGAACCAACGTGAACAATGGGGGGTCTCCAAGACCCCCTGCAGGCAGGCCCTCTTCCAGCCCCTCAGTGGCCTTTGACTGTAAGCCCCATGACCTCCGCAGCCAAGGGGGGCGGCCCCACCAGGGGACACTGTGGATCCTTTCCAGTGTCTCTGTTGGAGGCCCATGCTGTGACAGAGAACTAGAACCAGCTGTTTCCACGTGTTTTTTACCTTTTTGTGTTGTAGGTCTTGTAAGCAAAATTTTTCCTGTTGAGACAGTGGTCGAAGAAGCCATCCAATGTGCAGAAAAAATTGCCAGCAACTCTAAAATTGTAACAGCAATGGCCAAAGAATCAGTGAACGCAGGTAGGAAAGAGGGTGGAGAGGCCGCACAGGAGTAGTTGCGAGGCTTGATAATTTGGGGTCTGAATTGTGCATCTTAATTAATCTGGACAAAAATTGTTAGATTTCTCAGTATTTCGATTTTGGCTCTTCGTAGCATTCTAGTTTCTAGTTGCTTGCTCACAAATTCTGTTGAACTGGTCTGAGCTCCCCTTGGAAGCAGGACCTGAGAACTGGGCCAGCCTGGGGGCCAGTGCTGGCGAGCAGAGGCAGCCCAGGAGGGTCCCCTGCAGAACCTGGGAGGAGGAGGTTCCCCTCTGCCGCAGCCACTCCTGGCCGTCCGGGGGTGAGCCGGGGGCAGTTCCGCCCTGCCAGCCGTGGGTCTGGGCTCGGTGGCCACTCTTGGCCAGCGGAGCAGCTCTGACCGCCCCTCTTGAGAACTGCTCGGGTGTTAACACGGCGGTTTCGTCTCAGCGTGGAGCGAGGCTGCCCCGTGCTTGTGCCGCCTGTGAGGGCAGGAGTGGCCCTGGAGGGCCCTGCTGCCCCGACCCTGCCTTCAGTGCATGGAGCGTGTAGGGCGGGGGTGCGCAGCGAGGCCTGGGGCGCCTGTCATCACCTGGCGCTGGTCACGGGGCCTGGCTGCTGGGGCTGCCGCGGAAGCTTCCACGAGCCTCGCGCCCCCTCGCCTCTGCTGCAGACGTACCTGGGCCTCGCTCCATTCTGCCCACAGCTCCATTTTCAGTGTCGTCCTTACTTCTTTGTCGTGCTTCTAGAGTCCGCGTTCTGAGCTTCCTCAGCCCCCTCTTGACTGGACAGCTTTTTCCATCCCGCCTTCCACGCCGGTCACGCCGGCCCCCACACAGGCCCACGGAGCCCGGGAGCAGCTGCTCACTGGGCCGCGGCCGGGGCGACACCTGGCGAGGGAGGCTGCACTTCAGTCCCACGACATCGAAGCATGCGTCGGTCCCTGGGCTGCTTCCTGCCTCTGCAAGAAGTTCTGCGTTCCCACGTCTGTGTCTCAGCTCCTCACCGTAGGGTTTTCTTTTTCAGCTTTTGAAATGACATTAGCAGAGGGCGTTAAATTGGAGAAGAAGCTCTTCTACTCAACTTTTGCCACTGTGAGTAGCCTCATTCACTTGGGGAATCACATGGTCCAGCCGTGGAAGTTCTGGAATTTGGTTGTAGATTTTATCACCGTTTCTCTCTGGTCAGAACTCATAGCCTCCCTGTGGCTGGGCAGTGATGTTTGCAAATAAATGGGGCTTCCCTGGTGGCTCAGACCGTAAAGAATCCACCTGCAGTGCGGGAGACCTGACTTCAATCCCTGGGTCGGGAAGACCCCCTGGAGGAGGGCATGGCAACCCACTCCAGCATTCTTGCCTGGAGAATCCCAAGGACAGAGGAGCCTGGCAGGCTATAGTCCACGGGGTCACACAGAGCCAGACACGACTGAGCAAATAGCACACAGCACAGTGTGGGGAAGTTCAAAAGTACAAAACTTTTACAGTTATTTCTTATTACAAAAGATCTTAGGAACTGCACACTTAAATAGCAGTTCCTGTATTTAAAAGGCAATCTATTTACCCATAACTTTCCTAGATCGTTCCAGTTACTTGGAATGGGGATCAAGTGTATTTTAACACTGTAATTTGAAGCCTTGGCACATTATTTTCCAGGGTATCTGCCAGTAACTTGAAGGAAGTCATTCTTGTAATAGTCACTAAAATTCATTTCTTACTATCAGGCAGTCATATATAGGTGTTTCATAAAAGATGAAAATGACTTTGGTTCTTGAGGAAGTGCAGATATGTGTGTGTACATGTGTATGTGCACATGTGAGTGCATGTGTGTGGTATGGGTGCATCTGTGTGTGAGTGCATTGTGTGCACATGTGTGTGAGTACGTGTGTGTGCACTCGTGGGGGTGCATGTGTGTCATGTGAGTGAGTGTTACATGCATGTGATATGAGTGCATATGTGCATATGTGAGTACATGCCGGTGTGCACTTATGTGTGAGTGTATGCATGTGGTATAAGTATTCATGTGTTGTGAGTGCATGTGTGTGGTGTGAGTGCACTGTGTGCACGTGTGAGTACATGGGGGTGCATGTGTGTGCTGTGAGTACATGTGTGTGCACTTATATGTGAGTGCATGTGTGTACTGTGAGTGCATGTGTGCCTGTGTGAGTACTTGCCTGTGTGCACTTATGTGTGAGTGCATGCATGTGGTATGAGTGTATTCGTGTGTTGTGAGTGCATGCGTGTGGTATGAGTGCGTGTGTGAGTATTGCATGTGTACACTTGTGTGTGAGTGTGTGCATGTGGTGTGAGTGAGTGTGTTGCGAGTACGTGTGTGTGTGTGCATGTGTGTCAGTGCGTGTGTGAGGAAGGAGGGCCGAGGTGGAGCCTTTGCTTGTGTCCTTCCTAACCCTCAGGACACCACCTGACACAGGTCACACTAGATCAGGTTATGATTTGGTGAATGAGTACATGCACCTGAGGTTCTCTGTAGATGAGGGTTTATTGCACTCGAAGGTTAGTGGATGACAGAATGACCGTCACCACGGCAGGGCAGGGGTGTTTACTGTGAAAATACCCATTTCCGGGCCCACCCTCGCTGGTCAGGGAGTTGGGTCATTCACCCTTGAGGTGATCCCACCACAGAACCCGTGGGTGTGGACGGCTGAGGGTGGGAGGAGCCAGCAGGCAGTGAGCGGGCCTGGCCTCGGGAAGAGTCACCGTCCACCACTGCTTCTCCTCCCCACAGGAAGACCGGAAGGAAGGGATGGCCGCGTTTGTGGAGAAGAGAAAGGCCAACTTCAAAGACCAGTGACAGCCGGCCGCCTCTGCCTCGGCCCCCTTTCTAGGAGGACGAGCAGCTTCAGAAGCTGATCAACGCTTCTGTCTCGTGCACAGTGTCGGTGACACATGGCTTCTCTCGGGGTCTGTGGGGTCTACAGGGTGGTGTGGGCTCCCAGCCTGCTGGGGGGCAGATGGCCTTCACCCAGTGGTCACAGGGCCCCAGCTTGGCCACTGTGTCGTTTGCAGCGGTGGATGTGGCCACTCAGAGTGAAGGCCTTGCTGCTGGGTCTCTAAAGGGACATGCTCTTGACTGACAGACTTCAGGTCACATTAGGCATTTTTTTGGTTATTTCTATTCTTGAGAGTTCTATCACTCTTTAAACACTTTTGTCTGTCATTCTAAGCAACAACATTCAAACAGAACAAAGTCCGCGAAGTGCTCCCATCCTCGTCCGAGGGTGACTTCTGTTCACAGATTCATGGCTCTTAGGATTTTCTGTGCCCACGCGCTCAACGTGTGAAACTCGGTTTTCTTTGTATGAAAATGGTTCTCCACATTTCTGCTGCTTTCGCACAGATGCACCCTGTTCTTCATGACTGTGATTCTTTTTCATTGTAAAATAGGTAACAGAAAACTTGCTGTTTTATCCACTTTTGGATGTACCTAGCAGCCGTGCCTTCACAGTGTTTTCATCTATCTCCATGCGGTTTCATCGCCCCAGACAGAAACTACGCCTCAACATTAAGTCCCTACCTGGCCCCCCGCCCCCGGGTCCTGGGGACTTTATTCCACTTTCTATCTGTTGCTGAGTTGAATGTAATATTTCCAAAGTCCACCCAGGTTGTAACAGTGACAACTTACCGTGACAACAGCCACTTTTCATGGCTGAATACGATTCCTACTTGCGTTCTTTTCAGTGGCCCTGAGGTGTTTTATGATGTGTGTGCATTGTGATCTGCTTACTCAAGTGGCTCAGGATGTCGAGAGCATGTCCAGGTTCCTGTGTCAGAGCCGTTGTGACAACAGTGCAACAAACATTCTCTGCGTGAACCCTTGCACTTCAGCTCAAGCGTGTCTGTGAGGGTCGTTTCGTGTAATAGAACCGCTGCCTCCTCTCCGGCCCTCCTCGCAGTACATGCAGCAGGCAGGCTGGCGTGCAGCCTCGTCCCCCTTGGCAGAAGGTCGCAGAGCAGCTCTCATGGGGCCTCACCCCCAGCTGTGCAGATAGGACCAGAGCACCAGGGCGAGTCGTTGAAGGTGCTGGATAATGGGGTCACCCTCGCAGAGGAAGCGGGCGCAAAGGGACCGTGAGATCAGTCTCCCCTGGGGTCGGAAGGCCGGGCCTGGCCGGTCCTGGCCGGGCAGTCCTCACCGTGACAGATGTGGGCACCCACGTGCTAAAGCTGTGTAACCAGGGTTTGTGCAAGTGACGCACCGTCTAGAATGACCCAACAGAGGTATCTGCAGGGGGTAACCTTCCCGCTGAGGAAGGAAATGCATTAGTTTAATTTTCCACACTCGGTCAGGGCTCGTCATAATTGATTCCAAGTGGGACTACACTGGTGGTCCAGTGACCGACACTGAGCTTCCAGTGCTGGGGGTCTGAGTTCAGCCCCTGATCAGACAACTAGATCCCACATGCTACAACTGAAATAAAAAAGCTCCAGAGAAGATCCTGCAAGCCACAACTGAGACCCAGCACAGCCAAATAAGTAATCGATTTGATTCAGACTGATGGAACCCCGAGTGCTGGGGGCCAGTTGGAAGGAGCCCGTTTGAGGCCCACAGGCACCCTTGTCCTATGTCCTAGTGGCTCAGCTGGAAGCTGAGGAAGGGCTGGACGTGGAGCCCACACGTGAGTGTCTGTCTGTGTCTCAAAGGTCTGCACCCACACAGTTGTTTGGGTTTCAGAACATGGCAGGGATGGGTCTACCCTCAGGCCCAGGAAACAGAACCTTCTCTTTGGGTTGTGTGCTAGCCCTGGGCTTGGGAGTGACGGGACTGACCACGTGTGACCACGTCTTTGCTGTGGGCGAGAGGGCAGCAGGCAGACCCTGGACAGATGGCAGGGACCCCAAGCCCTGAGAGCCCTCACTCCTTCTGGAGTTAATTGACCTCCCGCCCCATACTGGTTTTGGGTTGTGATTGGCTTTTGAAGCTGAGAACTTTCCTTCTCATCTATCCATAAACTTGGCTTTTCCCTCCTATATTTCTACTAAAAAAAAATAAGCTTCAGGGAATGTTAACTAGTAGTCTCTCCACTCGGACTTTGAAGTACCCTGCTCCTGCCAGGTGCAGTCGGCAGCTATGGGTGGCTGGTGTGCGGGCCCTGCCGGCCACCTCCCTGGCAGCTGTGACCACCAAGGCTCCCCAGGGACGAGCAGTGGCTGTGGGGAGCCTGTTGTCTTCAGGTCTTCTGCCTCTTTCACATACAGTACTTCCCCGGAACCTGCTAGGCCTCTGGACATGTCACCACAGCCAGGGCTGAGGTCCACTGAGGGATGAGGTAGAAGGGGCAGGGTCCCCAGGGGAGAGAGCCTGGCCTGTCCAGGCTCTGAGTTGGACTTTCCTGCAGGGCCAGCAGCAGTAAGTCCACAAGTGAGCAAGGCAGCCCTGTAAGGAGGGGCCCGAGCATGGAAGGCTGAGAGCTGGCTGGCCTGAGCAAAAGCCAGTCTGCAGGCTGGGCAGTGAGGTTAGGTGCTGGGTTCTAAAGCAAGGGTATGACCCAGCTGGTACAGGCATGGGCATCTGAACTGGGGTCTGCCCTCTATCCTAAGTGCATGGATTGGGGGTCGGGGGGTGGGTAGGGAATGGAGCAGACACAGAGTGGAAGGCCAAGGGTGGTGTAGCAGGACTTTTGTTGACATCTCGGCTGGGCACAGGAGCCACCTACATTAGTTAGCTGCTGCTGCGTAACAAATTATCCCCAAATTTATTTGATTTTAATACCAAAGCAAGTGTTCTGAAGGGAGAAACCATACTGCCTTTTATGACATGCCCCCAGAAGCCAGGCAGCATATTCTATTGGAGGCAGTCACAGAGGTTCACCTGGTTCAAGAAAGGAGACAGACCCAGTTCTCAGGGGAGGCACGTCACATACGGCATGGTGGTGGTACTGCAATTTGGGGAAGACAATTATACCTGTCCACTAAAAAGAATGCACAACCTAAAAGTTGAGAATTAGGCTTTATTCAGCAGACTTGCTGAAGACTTCAGCCCTGGATACGGCCTCTCAGAGAGCTCTGAGGGGCCTGTTCCACAGAGCTGAGGGGGTGTAAGTAGATCAGGCAGGGGGTCCCCAGAGAAAGAAGCAGGAATGGCTTTCTTGACTGATACCATGTTCAATTCAGTTCAGTCGAACAGCCGTGTCTGACTCTTTGTGACCCTGTGGCCTGCAGCACGCCATGCTTCCCTGTGCACCACCAAACCAAGTTTTCTCAAATTCGTGTCCATCGAGTCGGTGATGCCATCCAACCGTCTCATCCTCTGTCGTCCCCTTCTCCTCCTGCCTTCACTCTTTCCCAGCATCAGGGTCTTTTCCAGGTGCCCAAAGGCTTGGAGCTTCAGTTTCAGCATCAGTCCTTCCAGTGAACATTCAGGACTCATTTCCTTTACGATTGAATAATCTGATCTCCTTGCAGTCCAAGGAACTCTCATGAGTCTTCTCTAACACCACAGTTCAAAACCATCAATTCTTCAGTGCTCAGCTTTCTTTATGGTCCAGCTCACATCCATACATGACTACTGAAAAAACCATAGCTTTGACTATAAAGACCTTTGTCAGTAAAGTAATGTCTCTGCTTTTTAATATGCTGTCTAGGTTTGTCATGGTTTTTCTTCCATGTAGTAAGCATCTTTTAATTTCATGGCTGCAGTCAAATCTACAGTGATTTTGGAGCCCAAGAATATGAAGTCTCTCACTGTTTCCATTGTTTCCCCATCTATTTGCCATAAGTGGTGGGATCAGATGCCATGATCTTCATTTTCTGAATGTTGAGTTTTAAGCTAGATTTTTCACTCTCCTCTTTCACTTTCATCAAGAGGCCCTTTAGTTCCTCTTTCTGTCATAAGAGTGGTGTCGTCTGCATATCTGAGGTTATTGATATTTCTCCTGACAGTCTTGATTCCAGCTTGTGCTTCATCCAGCCCTGCATTTCGCCTGATGTACTCTGTGTATAAGTTAAATAAGCTAAGTGACAATATACAGCCTTGACATACTCCTTTCCCAATTTGGAACCAGTCTGTTGTTCCCTGTCTGGTTCTAACTGTTGCTTCTTGACCTTCATACAGATTTCTCAGGAGGCAAGTAAGGTGGTCTGGTATTTCCATCTCTTGAAGAATTTTCCACAGTTTGTTGTGACCTACACAGTCAAAGGTTTTGGTGTAGTCAATAAAGCAGAAGTAGATGTTTTTCTGGAACTCTCTTGCTTTTTCTAAGATCCAACGGATGTTGACAATTAGATCTCTGGTTCCTCTGCCTTTTCTAAATCCAACTTGTACATCTGGAAGTTCTCAGTTCACATAATGTTGAAGCCCAGCTTGGAGGATTTTGAGCATGACCTTGCTAGCATGTAAAATGAGTGCAATTGTGCGGTAGTTTGAACCTTCTTTAGTATTGCCTTTCTTTGGGATTGGAATAAAAACTGACCTTTTCATGTCCTGTGGCCACTACTGAGTTTTCCAAATTTGTTGGCATATTGAGTGCAGCACTTTCACAGCATAAAAGACATTCTTGACATAAGACAACCCATTTTGGTCTAAATCATTTTGTGATCTAAACCTGGTCATGGTGCTTGCCCTTGAACAGGTCTCAGTCAGTAATCAGTGATCTTAAAGGTACAGAGGAATGCAGGGACAGAGAAAATGCAGTGACAAAGCAGAGTCATAGTTCTTCTCAAGGGATAAACATAATAATACACTTTGAATTCTGCAGGAACTAAGGCTCCCACCCAGGTGGAGGGTGGGCTGATGATGTTGACCTTCCTGACTTAAGACAAAGACTTGGACTCTGTCACCCTGATCTTTTCTCCAGTTCTATGTTGAATTCTCTGCTCAAACCCCTCTGGTGGTGCCCTCAGCTTAAAACTTCCCCAGTTTTGCTAGTGGGGAGACAATGCTTTGGGAAAGATCACTCTTGTTTTCCTTACTTGCTGTGAGTGATAATTCTTTCTTTTCATCATCTTTGCCAGCTTGGTTGTGTCTTTTGGTTTGACACTCACTGAGAGGCGAACCCAGTTTTCAGGTCACAGGAGGAGCCAGTATATATAGGAGTTTTTGCAAACAAAACAAAAAACCAGGTAGTTGGAACAGCAAAAGATTATTGCTAAGTAAAGAAAACCAGACATCTTAAGTTAATGAATTTAGTGCCTATGTATGGGCAGATGCCAGCATTTGGGCTCCTTGGAATCATGCCTTTAATATGCACCTCAGCTATCTAGGGCCAGGATCATTTTTTCTTCTTCATAGTAAATCCCCTCAGGGTGCAGCGCAGGTGCAGCTGCAGTGGCTGAAGGCTTGGTGGCCTCAATATCCTTTGTTTAATGACATGATGTGCATGCGTGCTAAGTCATTTCAGTCATGTCTGACTGTTTGCGACCCTGTGGACTGTACCCCGCCAGCCTCCTCTGTCCCTGGGATTCTCCAGACAAGAATGCTGGAGTGGGTTGCCATGCCCTCCTCCAGGGGATCTTCCCGACCCAGAGATCAAACCCTCGTCTCATGTCTTCTGCATTGGCAGGCGGGTTCTTTACCAATAGGGCCACCTGGGAACATGGCAGGGACATTCTTTGTCCACACACAACAGCCAAGATTAGGTCCGAGGACCACAATCCTGACTCAGCCCTGGAGGCTGAGAGGCTACAGCCGCCCCTTTGGGGTGATGGGCGTCTTCTCCCAGCCTCCGGGTGTGGTGCACAGGAGGTGGTGACACCCTGCACAGGGAAGTGGTGTGGTAGGTGGTCCCAGTTCTGAAGGGCTGAACCCAAAGGTGTTAACCCAGAGCTGGCATCCGGGATTCTGGGCCAAAGGGTGGAGTCCGAGAACTACTGTCCAGAGCAGGGGTGCTGGCCCCAAGCTGGGTCCCAGACGGGTCTCAGCAGGCTGACCTGGGAGACAGGGGAGGGGTGCGCTCTGCACCGCTGCTTGGAGGAGGTCACCCCCCACCTGCTCTCAGGGTCTTTGCAGAGTGAAGGTGTTGGCTGAAGAAGTCACCCTGTACCGCCACCCACTCCTCCCCACCCCAGGGCATCAGGGACCCTGTGGAGGTGGGGGCAAGTCAGCAAGGCCTGGGGGCAGAACAGAGGCCTGGAGCAAGGAAGACACTGGGGATCTCCGACCAAAACCACATGGGTTCCCGGGTGCTGGATCCAGCGGGGTGCCAAAGCCCTGAAAGACGGCGGCTGCTGGTGAAAAGGAAAAGTTAAAATTTTACATAACCGCCCATTATACAGAGCGAAGTAAGCCAGAAAGATAAAGACCATTACAGTATACTAACACATATATATGGAATTTAGAAAGATGGTAACAATAACCCTATATGCAAAACAGAAAAAGAGACTCAGATGTATAGAACAGACTTGTGGACTCTGGGAGAAGGCGAGGGTGGGATGTTTCAAGAGAACAGCATCGAAACACGTATATTATCTAGGGTGAAACAGATCACCAGCCCAGGTTGGGTGCATGAGACAAGTGCTCGGGCCTGGTGCACTGGGAAGACCCAGAGGGATTGGGTGGAGAGGGAGGTGGGAGGGGGGACCGGGATGGGGAGTACATGTAAATCCATGGCTAATTCATTTCAATGTATGACAAAAACCACTACAATGATGTAAAGTAATTAGCCTCCAACTAATAAAAATAAATGAAAAAAAAAAATTTTACATAACCTCCTGCTCATTCTGCCTCCCTAACTCAGCTTGCTCCTTGTAAAGTCTGGATCACGTAGTCTCAGAAACTGGGGACTTAGAATACTAGGAACTGGAGCTTATCTCACTCACCCTTATCCAGCTCTTTGCAATTGCCCAGCCCCTGCAAACTGCTTAATCATGCCTGTCGGTGTAAAGGTCAGACATCTCCTTCCCTGTCTTAACTCGTGTTCCCTTAGTTTAAACCAGCCTATAACAGCTAGTGTTGACCACTATCAAGTGGGAAAAGAAAAGTGAAAGTCACTCAGTCCTGTCTGACTCTTCGCAAATATACAATCCATGGAATTCTCCGGGCCAGAAAATTGGAGTGGGTAGCTTTTCCCTTTCGCCAGGGGATCTTCCCAACCCAGGGATCGAACCCAGGTCTCCCACATTGCAGGGGGATTCTTCACCAGCTGAGCCACAAGGGAAGCCCAAGAATACTGGAGTGGGTAGCCTATCCCTTCTCCAGCGGATCTTTCCAACCCAGGGATCAACCGGGTTCTCCCGCATTGCAGGTGGATTCTTTACCAACTGAGCTATGAGAGAAGCCCACTATAAGTCCACTAAAGTCTGTCTCTAAAAACTCTAACCCCTTTGTTCGGGGATTAGTGCTTAGAGTGCTAACTCCTCTGGGCCCCCTGATATAATAAATCTGAGTTCTCCAACTCTCCAAGTGTGGTGCTTGCTTTCTCTAGTACTGGTTCCGGCAACACTGGGATGGACTGACGTCCACCTCTCCCCAAACAACCCCGTAATCCCCCGCGCTTGACTGGGCCCCGCCCCCAGTAGCCCCGCCCCTCGGACAGCCCCGCCCCGCGAAGCCCCGCCCCCCGACCGCTGGCCGCCCCCTCCGCCCACGACCATGGTGGTGCTCAAGGGTGTCCCGGCGCTCCTGTCCCCGGAGCTCCTCTTCGCCCTGGCGAGAATGGGGCACGGAGATGAGATCGGTGAGCGCGGGGTCCGAGCCTCCGGGAGAGCCGGCCCAGCGGGCCGCAGGCGGGCAGGGCGCCGGGCCTGGGCGGGGGTGGGCAGGGGTTCCTTCTCCAGCCCGGCGTCCGGGCTGAGCGGCCCCGCGCACGCCCCGCCGCAGCCCTGCGCGCGGCCCCCGCTTCAGCCCCGGCTCTCGGGCCCGCACCGCCGGCGCCCGGGCTGGCCTGGGACGTGTGCGTCGGTCTCTCTTCCTGAGACTGCGGCCGCGCGGCCGGAGCCCGCCCAGCCTTCGGCGACCCCTCAGGTTCTCGGGCGCGGGGGCTCCGGTCCCTCGCGCTCACAGACCCGGGCGGGGCGGGGCGAGTCCTCAGGCGTCGGCCCTGCGGCTCCGGGTCTGTGCCCCCCCCCACGCGGCGCGAGGGACGTGGGCCGACCCAGCGCTGATGTCTGGCCGTGCTGGCCCTCCAGTTCTTGCAGACGTGAACTTCCCCAGCAGCTCCATCTGCAGAGGCGGCCCGGAGGAGATCCGCGCCGACGGTGAGCCCCGCCTGCAGCAGGGTGGGTGGGAGGGGGCGCTGGGCTCTGCTCCCGCTCCCACCAAGCCCGCAGGCACTGCCCCAGGGACCCAGGAAGTCTCAGCGCCAGTTCCTCCCCTCAGCCCCCGCCCCTAGGCGGGACCCTGGGCCTCCTGCGCCATCTCACGCAGCAGTTGGTGGCCTCTTACATATGGGAAAACAGGCCCAACCGAGCAGTGGTGCCCAGCCCAGGCCAACCGCTCAGCCTTGACTCTGCTACAGAATCCCAGCGCTGGTGATCTGGCCCCAAATGTTCCAGGTGTCCTCCTCACACTCACAAGCCTCGAAAGACCTTCTCACCCTCATGGGCGAGGGTGGCGGAGCCGGGGCGGGGTGGGGGGGGGGGGTGTGCAGACGGGTCCCAGGTCCCGGAAGGGGACAGTGGGAGGTGAGGCTGGGGGGCGGGCCCTGGAGCCAGGTCCTGGAGGGGACACCTAAGAGAGAGGTTAGCAGTCCTGAGGGTAACAGGGGTGGGCTGGGCTCGGCTGTGCCTGGGTGCTTCCCACCCCCAGCCATGTTCTGAGGGTGGGATGGTCCTTTCTTTTCATGGGCTTCTGTATTTCCCAGTTTTGTACGTGAACACACATTAGTTTAACAATCAGAAACCAACTTTCAGGAGAGCAGGGGGTTTTGGAGCCAAGCGGGGCAGGTCTGAGGGCAGCCAAGAGAGGCCTCTTCCCAGACCCCACTGTCGTCTCAGGGGGTCATCTCCAGGGCCTCCTGGGATCAAGAAGGTGGCCTGGCTGCCCCTCCTGGTGGACACGTGTTTGGGGTCCCCACCAGCGGCCTGTGTGGAAGAGTGAAGTTGGCGAGGGCAGGGCCAGACAGAGACAGGGGCTGTGGCTCCAGCGGGGAGACTCAGTGTGAACTCAGTAAGTGTCCCCAGGTAGGCAGCTCAAGCCCGGTGTCTGCGGCCACCCTCTGCCCCCAGGCCTGGGCATCCCCCAGCTCCTGGAGGCTGTGCTGCAGCTGCTACCCCTGGACACCTACGTGGAGAGCCCGGTAAGGCTGCTTCCAGCCTCGGCTCACCTTCTGCCAGATCATGGGTGACCACTTGCCCTGATGGGGTGGGGAGGACGTGTGTTCCCGAGGTCCTGAACCGACCAGAGGAGCCCTGGGGCGCCCAGGGCAAGGTGGGTGGCCACAGAGCCGAGCCTCTCCATCCCTAGGCTATGGTCATGGAGCTGATGCCCAGCGACAGGAAGAGGGGCCTGCTGACCCCAGTGTGGACGAGCTACCAGTCCATCCTCTCCAAGGCTGGCTATGAGGTGAGCCTGAGATCCCCACCAGGAAAGGGCTCAGGGACCCTCTGTGCCTTGGAGGCCCAGGAGAAGTGAAAGATGGCCCCGAAACTCTGCACCACGGTTATGCGAGTTCCTGCCCCAGCCAACCCCCTCCTTGCCAGGACCCTCATCTGTCTCTGCCTGGGGGTCCTCACACACCCCAGCCTGGGGACAGCAGGGTACCCCTGGCTCCCACCTGTGGCCAGAGGCCGGGCCTGAGGCTGCCTGTCACCCCTGTCCTGCAAAGGGTCGGGCAGGTCTTGGGTGGGACTTTCCTGAAGAGAGGACCCGGGGCTCCTGGTCCATACAGTGGCCCCCAGCCCCACCCACCAGCCTGGGTGTAGCTCAGGTGATTCAAGGGCCCCAGGCAGGTGGCCACCACAGCCCCCTGTGTCCCTGCCTGCCCAGCCTGCACAGGTCAGAAGGCCAGTGTCCTTGGGGCCCCGGCCTGGAGACTCTCCTGTTGCTGCCAGGCCTGGGCTTCAACCCTCCTCCTTTGCCTTCCAGGGCTCCCTGGGGATGGTGGAGAGGTTTGCGTTTTATGAGCGGGCGAAAAAGGCTTTTGCTGTTGTGGCAACTGGGTGAGTTCTGGCTGGGTCCAATGGGTCACACTATGCCGAGCAGGGTCCCTACCCCTCCCCACTCCAGAGCTCTCTCCACCCTCCACGCAGCCCCTGCCCTGGGACTAAGCGGCCCACAGGGAATGAGAGCGCCGAGGGGTTTGCTGGGTGTGCCCGGGCAGCCGGGTCCTCTGCATCCCCGCCCGGCGCTCAGCCTGCTGCTTGTGCAGGGAGACAGCCCTCTACGGGAACCTCATCCTCAAGAAGGGGGTGCTGGCTCCCGAAGACCTGTGCCAGGCCTGTTGAAGACCACCCGCCCAGAGAGGAATCTACACCCCCGAGCCTGCCGAGGCCACCAGCAGACACGTCCGTCGGTGGCCAGATGAGCCAGCCTGGCCCCCCCCAGCAGCACCCAAAGCTCGCCGCGCCAGGTCCTGCGTGGGTCTCTGCTGACCAGGGCCAGGATTGTCCCGTTTATGACAGTGATGCAAAAGTGAGGTGGCGGGCCCAACGCTGGGCCCAAAGCTTTAAACAGTAGCTCTTTCCTAACTCACAGAGGCCTGTTTGGTGCTGAGTGCAAGGGAGGCTGTTGGCTCCCTAGAGAGCAGAGCCCCACCCACTCTTGGTGAATCCTCAGGGGGAGGTAAGGCCTTCCTCCTCCCAGTAGGTTTGGGTC